TTTTTGCATGTGCCACTGGTGGGCGTTTCGTAATCCCAGCGACAAGGCACTTCAGTTTGATCATACCCTCAAGATCAAACAAGATTTCAAAAAACCCAAGGCTTTTGACATCCCTCCACGGAGAGCAGAATAGAACCCCAACGTCTACGCATGGTGGGGTTCTAAAATCGTGTTCCTGCAAGCCATAAAATTATTGAAAAATGACATGTATTCTTCTGTTTTGTGTTGAACACATGCTGCGTTTCATTTGCATATTGCCTTTGTCCTCCCACACGCAGTGCGCGGTTCAGGTCATCGCAATGCTTTAGATTTTCTATTTTTTGCCGTTTTTCCTAGGCCGCGTCAGGCCCACCTTTTCCGGATAATATATGCAGAACTGCAGAACATTTTTTAAAGCAACGTCGGGACGGATGCAAAATTGGATTGCAACCTGTACGCTTCCCCACAAAGATTGCGTCGTTCAGTCATCTATTGAAGCCACCGTGCCCTCACCTTGTTTTGGCAAGCGGTGTGCAAGATCATCGCTTGTGAAAGGAAAAATCGACTGGACCATGACCAGTCTCAAAATTTACTGAGAGTTATCAATCTCTCCTTCTTCGTTGTTCTCCGAAAGTTCTTTATCAGATGTGTTGCTATCAAAAGAAAGGAGGTGGTGGGTAACAAAAAGGATGCAAAAAAATGTAGACTGTAGAAGATGTGTCAAAGCATGGCTAAGTTGGAATATGGCTGGTCACATATCAGCGCCTGTGAGTCTAGAATGGTTCCCTCCAAGCTTTAAAAACAGATTGAAACGCATTGACCTGGGAAAAATGATGATAGATCTCGTTTTTTTTTCAAACGCCTTGGCTGAACCAGAAGTGTTGGCATCTACAGAATGCAGATGGTGGATGAAAACAAATGTGCAAGGAAGGCCAAGTTGGGTTATGGCTGGCCAACAGTCAGCACCTGTGGGTCTGGAATGGTTCCCTCCAAGCTTTAAAAACAGATTGAAATGCATTGGCCTGGGGAATATGATGATAGACCCTGCATTTTTTCCAAACGCCTTGGTTGGACCAAACGTGTTGGTATCTAAAGAAAGGAGATGGTGGATGAAAACACATGTGCAAAGGGATGTGGAAGTAGGAGAGGTGCCAAAGGAAGGTTAAGTTGGGTTATGGCTGGCCACATGTCAGCACCTGTGGGTCTGGAATGGTTCCCTCCAAGCTTTAAAAACAGATTGAAATGCATTGACCTGGGAAAAATGATGATAGATCTCGTTTTTTTTCAAACGCCTTGGCTGAACCAGAAGTGTTGGCATCTACAGAATGCAGATGGTGGATGAAAACAAATGTGCAAGGAAGGCCAAGTTGGGTTATGGCTGGCCAACAGTCAGCACCTGTGGGTCTGGAATGGTTCCCTCCAAGCTTTAAAAACAGATTGAAATGCATTGGCCTGGGGAATATGATGATAGACCCTGCATTTTTTCCAAACGCCTTGGTTGGACCAAACGTGTTGGTATCTAAAGAAAGGAGATGGTGGATGAAAACACATGTGCAAAGGGATGTGGAAGTAGGAGAGGTGCCAAAGGAAGGTTAAGTTGGGTTATGGCTGGCCACATGTCAGCACCTGTGGGTCTGGAATGGTTCCCTCCAAGCTTTAAAAACAGATTGAAATGCATTGACCTGGGGAAAATGATGATAGACCCTGTATTTTTTTCAAACGCCTTGGTTGGACCAAAAGTGTTTGTATCTACAGAATGGGGATGATAAATGAAAACAAACGTGCAAAGGGATGTAGAAGTAGAAGATGTGTCAAAGGAAGGCTAAGTTGGGCTATGGCTGGCCAACAGTCAGCACCTGTAGGTCTGGAATGCTTGCCTCCAAGCTTTAGAAACAGCTTGAAACACTTTGACCTGGGAAAAAAGATGATAGACCCTGCATGTTTTCCAAACGCTTTGGTTGGACCAAAAGTTTTGGTACCTACAGAATGGAGATGCTAAATGAAAACAAACTTGCAAAGGGATGTAGAAGTAGAAGAGGTGTCAAAGGAAGGTTAAGTTGGGTTATGGCTGGCCACATGTCAGCACCTCTGGGTCTGGAATGGTTCCCTCCAAGCTTAGAAAAACAATTGAACCGCATTGACCTGGGGAAAATGATGATAGACCCTGCATTTTTTTCCAAACGCCTTGGTTGGACCAAAAGCGTTGGCACCTACAGAATGGAGATGATAAATGAAAACAAGCGTGCAAAGGGATGTAGAAGTAGAAGAGGTGTCAAAGGAAGGTTAAGTTGGGTTATGGCTGGCCACATGTCAGCACCTCTGGGTCTGGAATGGTTCCCTCCAAGCTTAGAAAAACAATTGAACCGCATGGACCTGGGGAAAATGATGATAGACCCTGCATGTTTTCCAAACGCTTTGGTTGGACCAAAAGTTTTGGTACCTACAGAATGGAGATGATAAATGAAAACAAACTTGCAAAGGGATGTAGAAGTAGAAGAGGTGTCAAAGGAAGGTTAAGTTGGGTTATGGCTGGCCACGTGTCAGCACCTCTGGGTCTGGAATGGTTCCCTCCAAGCTTAGAAAAGCAATTGAACCGCATTGACCTGGGGAAAATGATGATAGACCCTGCATTTTTTTCCAAACGCCTTGGTTGGACCAAAAGCGTTGGCATCTACAGAATGGAGATGATAAATGAAAACAAGCGTGCAAAGGGATGTAGAAGTAGAAGAGGTGTCAAAGGAAGGTTAAGTTGGGTTATGGCTGGCCACATGTCAGCACCTCTGGGTCTGGAATGGTTCCCTCCAAGCTTAGAAAAACAATTGAACCGCATGGACCTGGGGAAAATGATGATAGACCCTGCATGTTTTCCAAACGCTTTGGTTGGATCAAAAGTTTTGGTACCTACAGAATGGAGATGATAAATGAAAACAAACTTGCAAAGGGATGTAGAAGTAGAAGAGGTGTCAAAGGAAGGTTAAGTTGGGTTATGGCTGGCCACGTGTCAGCACCTCTGGGTCTGGAATGGTTCCCTCCAAGCTTAGAAAAGCAATTGAACCGCATTGACCTGGGGAAAATGATGATAGACCCTGCATTGTTTTTCCAAACGCCTTGGCTGGACCAAAAGTGTTGGTATCTAAAGACTGGAGGTGGTTGTTGGAAGCACGTCACTGCAGGTTGCTCATCACAACTTGGCCTGGCATTTGTTTCTTCCAAATCAAACTGGCATATGTGGGAGGTTGGAGGTAATGCCATATCATGTTGAAGTAAAGCTCATGATAATTCAGCTGAAGATGTTGCCGGAGATTAATTTTACATCTTTGTTATTGCACATTGCTGCAGGTTGGTCATTGTTTTGCCTTGTTTTCGGGTGATGTTCAAACCAAGCAACATCGAAATCACCTAGTTTTGAAGTTTTGAAAATGGAAATCTTGATCGACCAAAACCGGGGATGCTAATTCCACACATGTTTTGCACCTTTGCGCAAATACCTCATCACGACTTGTTTTCTTTTTCTGCGCTCCAAATCAATGACCTTTTCTTGTGGTCTGTTGAAATCAATTTATACCACAACAAGGCTCATATACTTTCAAGGTTCTAATTTGATAGCCTCTCAGGATTCTAAAATCATACCCTCTATGATTTTAGAACCCTCAACGGCATTTTTAGGCACCGCGATCTTGAGGGTATGTCTGATCTCCATTCTATCACATCCAACCGGGTCAGGACAAACGAAAAACAGGTGGTTCAAAACTGTTGCAATTTGTTTTCAAGAAAATAAATTCCTTGTAATAAAGAGAGATCAGTCCGACACTGAATTATCAGACTTCTCAGCCTGATGATGAATTGCGTAACATGTTCTGGGATGCAAAAGATGGGTGATGATAGATTTGAAAAAGATTGGTCGAAAAAATAAACCTGTTCCAGAACCTCTCTTTCAGAATCCCTTTATTTTTGCTTCCAATCTGTGTTGCTAGGGATTTGGGGTGAACCAAAAAAAATATGGCTTCCTGACAGTAGGGCCCCAGAATGCTATGATTTTATATTTCATTTTTGGCTAGCTTCAAAACCTCCAAATTCCAAGGGTCTAGAGTGGTACCACTGGGACAGGTCTACAATGCCCCAATTATCAGTCTAGACCTCTAGACCCCCCTCCAGGGGGGGGCCTTCTAGACCTTAAGTAGTTGAGGGTATATACATACTATATCATTATTATTATCATTATTATCTATTTATTTATTTATTTATTTATTATTATTATTGTTATTATTATTATTATCATTATTATTATTATTATTATTATTATATATACACATTTATAGATGGATAGATATGGATGTAGATGTAGAGATAAAGAGATAGATATAAAGATAGCTGTAGATTATACACACAAATACGTCATTATCCACTGACAAACTGGGATGCAATACAACCACTATTGAGGTATTGCTGATATCCCCAGGTATTGCTGGTTTGTTGTCCAGTTAATAGTGTCCTTTCGAAAAAAAAGAACAGAGGGGTCGATTGGGTATAGAATTTCTCATCATTGAATCTAATTACCCTCTGGTAATTTCACATAGCTATTAAAAAATAGCCTGTTTATAGTTGATTTATGTTGATTTACCTATTAGTTCACCACAAATCAACTATAAATGTGCCCTTTTCAATCTTTTATTTATTTAAATCCAATTGATTTATGGCCCTATTAAAAATGGTGATTTTCCACAGCTATGTTAGTTTACCAGTACCCTCTGGCAATCCATGGTGGAAAATCCACCATTTCCAGCCGCGCCAAGAGACCACGTCGGGATTGTCGTCGGACGGTAGGACCTGGTGCACCCCAGGGCACGTTGCTGCAAGGCAAAGGAAAACCATGGGAAAATGCTGGGAAATGTGTGGGCAAATGTGTGGGCAAATGATGGGAAAATGATGGGAAAATGATGATTTTGTCGAAAACATGTGGTTGGAAAATGACCAATTCATGATCTCTGGCGTGAAAAGCAAGCACATGGGGTATACGAAATGTTCGAAGAAACCCGATGGCCGGAATCGTGGGAAAAAGCAAGCGCCAACCAGACCAACTGGATGCCTGGAAATGACAGGGTAAGCACCATCTATAAACATCATTTACAACATCCTGGAAGGGTGGGGATCTAATTGTGATTAATCATATGTACATATATATATATCCACACGTATTAGAAACCGCTATGGAACAGTGGACAGGGTATCCCCAATTCATACTGCATTTGTTTACGATAGAAAAATATCGAAAAAAATGAAAAAAAAAAAAACGTATATTACTTGTATATAATGGGATATTTGTTGACTGTCGATGGTTTTCCCATTTTCAGACCCCACTGGTCGCAGCGTTCAAAGCCTGCTAAGGGTCATTCCATTGGTCGCTAGGGATTCGCATGTCATGGATGAGAATCCCCAATATAACTGGCTAGTGTACTAATCAGGCAACAGTGCTTTTGAACACGGCTTGAGATAAGCAGACTACCCGGAAATTTCATACTATGGCCATACTGCCCTGGCAAAAGCTTCACATTTTTCACTCCAAGTACCTCAGAATCAGTCCATGAGTTTCCAGTTTCCTGGAATTAGTTGCCTGGAAAATCTTGCAGATTTTCCATCAATTTTCCCATGGATTCTCCCTGTGGATTTTCCTTCTGGGCACACCATGGCCTGCAAGCCCACGCTGTTCACACCATGGACCGCTGCGGCACAACCGGCCAGGGAATCCCAGGAGGGCAAGTTGTTGTTGGCCTCGATGATCGAGGCCCAGGCGACCACCCCTAACAACCAAATGGGTATGGGTCAATACCTACAGATACATTTTTAGTGGGATGAACATCCAGCTAACCCAGCTATGACTTGGGGTTCACCAGGGGTACCAGGGTTTTGACCCATAGCCAAATCAATCAATGGGAGATCTCCAGGATCCTATTTATGGAGGTACGTTAGTATTAGTACCATCTTGTTGGCCATAGAAATTGAGGCTATATCCCCTGAAAAATAGCCCTGAAAAATAGGCCTTGAATGTATGGTAGGTACCTCCAATTTGGGTTCCTGGAATGGCCATTGAATCAACAGAAGATCATGGACATCTGGGTCACAATAATGGTGTGGGGGATACCATCATTTTTGGGGGGACACAATCATAATGGTGTTGGCATTGATGGTGTTTAATGTTGAAACATCATACCAATGATATATAAATGTCTGGTTTGTCATAGAGGATCACCCTAACCATGGTTAAGCAGTTACTAAGTGGGATGATCATCCAAGTAGCCCTCCTCTTAAATGGCTATCATTTGCCAAAGATGGTGTTTAATAGCATTATCTACATGAAGGATTGGCAGTGACCAATGTTGGATTCCTGGTGTTTGACAACACTACCAAAGATATACAGATAACATAAGATAACCCCCTTATATTGAATTCTAATATCATTGGTCCTTGCTGTTGTGGATGTGAGTGGTGAAGCGTCACCGAACTGGGGGGGTGAATCCCATAAAACGCAGCTGACCCCGGGTTTCCCCGCGTTTCCTCAGCTACTTCCAACCCACGTCAGCTAAAAGAGTTTCAACGGCCCAAAGCAATACTAGAAAACGTTCAAAGAACAACTTGGTGGCTACCCTCTGGTGAACTAACATAGCGATGGAAAATCACCATTTTTCATGGGAAAATCCACTATAAATGGCCATTTTCCATTGCTATGTTAGTTCACCAGAGGGTAATCCCAGTCAGTGTGGCTGTCACTCTACTCTAGGTTTGGGTATCAGCTGAGATCATGGCCCTTTTTGCCCCAAATCCATGGTTTTTCACCTCCTTTTCCCATTTACATGATGGCCCCACATGCCCCACTAGTCAGTATAGTAACTGATCAATAGAAAATATCGTATATCAATATATCCCAGAAAAGATAGAACAGTAATTTACAGTTTACCACTATTTTAGAATTGAACTTCACGAACTTCTGAATCTTTTTGGGGCCCATTTCAGTGCGTGAATACACCGGTGCCTTAAAAAATCCCGGTTGATATCCCCATCAGAAAGCCCATCTCTTTCACAGAAATTCTGGCTGGAAATCAGTGAAATTGCCTCAAGGCTTCCGGGACTTCCGGGTCTCCGACCATCTGTTGGACTACCTTCACCCTACTGGTGTCTGCATAGGCACACGCCGTGCTCGGACATTCGACCCGTAAAGCCTTGTGAAATCAGCATCGAAAACGCGGTGACCCGGCGGCGGGCTTGTGAGCAGGATGAAAAGTGAACGGGATTGTACAACGTGAGGCTCTGTTTACGATAGCTAAGTTGACGCTTAAATAACTTGGTTAACTGTTGGGTTGGTTGGGGGAATATAGCTAGAGTTCATGTGGTTTGTGAACCAACTTACAATTGGCCTCACCTTGCAAATGGGCTTAATGTATAGATTATAAATGTGATTGTAGAATTCTTTCAGTTCCACCAGTTTGGACTTGTAGAAATCACAGAGCTAGAAAAATTTCAGTCGTTTCATCATTCTAGTAAATGTTAGATTGCCTTTTTGGGATACAGATGGATTTGTTTTCAAACCCCACAGTCCGTGACTGACAAAATTGCCCCTAGGGATTGATGACCATCCCCATGGTTTTGACATGTGACCATAGCACCTGTTGGCCAAATGGGGTGAGGAAAACGAGAGGAAAAAAAGGTGCAACAAAGCGAGAGATGGGATTGCAACTAGCCATATTCTTGCAAGGTTAGCAAGGTTAGCTGCCACGCTTGAGAATTTTAGAATCCTAACTTCCATGAGTCTTTGCCAACTGAATATGCTGGTGTAACCTAAAACAGGTTGGAATAAACAGCCAACAGCGGCGAAACCATCAATACTGGGGTATCTAATAGCAACCATTGCAAAAAAGTATTCCAAACAGTTTCAAACAACTCCTAGTTGCCAATCCAAGTCGATTCTTGACACAAAAAACAAAACAACAAAGTGATGCTGCGCCCCGGACAAAGCGATGTTGTGGTGCGGCGCCTGATTTGACAGAGGTCCTAATGGGACATGCAAACAACAGAAATTAGCATATACGGATATGATGGTAGGTGTCATATAATAACTCAGTTTATATGATGTCCTGGGTATATAGTCGGATATATCATCAACAATATGATTATTTGGGTGTCAAGCTGAATCGCTCATTCACCCCAAGTGGCGTGCTTTCAATAACATCATAAGGCCAAGGGACGATCCGAAATCGTGGCTGTTGAATACTGCTGGTGAAACTGCATACTACTTACCATCTAGTTATGACTAACATAGCCATGGAAAGATCCACCATTTTTCATAGGTAAACCATCTATTTCTATGGGCCATCTATACCATGGCAAACTGTTAGTCATAACCAGAGGGTACATGGTTTTTCTCTGTGGGATCTGGAAAATTGGATGGTTTCTGGTGATCGAGCTGGCGCTCGATCCTTGTATCTAAATGTCCTAAATTTGGACCCAGATACACCGGGTATACTAAACATTACTCACCTCATATACTGCACTAAAGATCGTTTCTGAAGGCTTTTAAACCCCCCGCATCGGAAGCCATGAGGTATGATATATGGATTGAATTTCCTACGAATTTCCTACCATCATCCATCAACTCCCAATGTTTGGATGCTTAGATCCCAGTTTTTATTGGTTAAATTCAAAATTGTTTGTTGATTCTGATTCTTCGTGGTTAACATTCACCATTTTCCTTGGTTAAATCCTGCATTGTTGTTGGTTGTCGTTGGTTGCAGTAAATCGCCAATATCTGTCGAGTGTCCAACAAATGTGTCCCAAATATCAGGTTACCCGTACGTAACTATGGAAAATCACCATCTTTTACGGGTAAATCCACTATTCACACTAGTTCTATGGCCATTTTCAATAGCTTTTTGTATGTTTACCGGGCCGGGTAATCACAAAGTGTTTCTTGCTTTAGGCTCTCCGACTTCCTGGCCAAATAAAAAAAACTGTCCGTACAGGATGGGGCCCTACAGGATCGAGCTCGACAGCTAAGTTGCCTAAAAAAAGTGGTGAAAAAACCATGACTTATGGTAGATATAACTATACTTATTGGGGTATATTTCATGGTGTATAAGCCAACTTGCAACTGGGGGGCCCCATCCTGTAGGTTCAATGCAAATCTTTGCTGGTCAACATCCAAGTCTTGTCATCTAAATCCCAACTTTAGCTGCTTCAAAATCTCGAAAATCCCCAAGTTCTGTCAGTAAACTGCGACTCGTGCCCCAGCCTGTAAAGTCTAGTGCGCACACGGTGGCCTCGAAACCATTCGGACACACCTCGTTTCGCCATGGCGGGTGCGTTTTTGATTGGATTGAAATATCGTCCCAAAAAAACTATATGAACCAATGAACCATCAAAACATGTGGTGGAACCACCCAAACTGGTTGTTCAACACCGTCAAAACTGGGGGCCTAACATGGTTTAACATCCTGAAATGGGGATTTGTTTGTGGCCGATGCAAGATGAAATACCCCCCCATGTTTCGGACCAAAGGTCATGAATAGATCTGATACTAAAACAGGAGGTCTCGGGTGGTATTTAATATTAGAGAAGGGATTGCTAAGCCTCAATAAACATTGGGAACCAAATGACTGAGCTTGATTAGGCTTAATTCGATTAAATCTGTTTGGAACCTACCCACTATAGTTGGAGGCACCAGGATCATTTACAATATCGGATTTATAATGATTTATAATAGAATAAGTGATGAGATGAAGAGAAAATCAATGGTTGATCATTCCACCAAAAATGATGCATGGCTGGAAATGGTACCGGGGGGTGAGAAATGGGGTACGGTTTAGACTTACCGTTGCGGACCCCCGAAATTGCTGTCGTAGCAAACCATCCATCTTTTCTAAATCTTGTTGACCTGGGAAAAGCTCACAATTCAAGACCCAGATCCTGCTTAGATTTCTTCATCTCCCATTCCAAAAGAACAACTCATAGCAAGAAATTCTTCTCCGAAACTTTGAAAAAAAAAAACAAAACCCTAACCGTCACAACAGTCTACATGTATTCCCAATAGATCCCCATGATATTCCATGGAAATCAGGCTTTTTTCTTGGTCAAAATCTCAATTTTCCCCACCGTTTTCTCCACCTTGGTGGCGAAAAAGTAGAGGATTCCCACCTGCCACATGAGTCACATGAGCCAGGTCGATTCATGGGTTATATATGGGATGATCTACAAGGGTGAAAAACACCACTTACTAACCGGGATGTCCATTTTTTCGTGGCGGAAGTTTTTTCAATGTCCATATTCTACTCCAGGATGACTGTATATCCATGGTACCCCTCTAAATCTACCCAGCTCTTAGTAGGTTCACATCTTAGGGTGGCATCCCCAAGTGACCAGATGTGACGGATAGATTTCGACTGGATGAAACCAATTTGGAAGCCACATGCAGCACAAATATATGTAAACGTAAATACATATTCTATGTGTATATATATATACAGATGTACGTATGTATACATATGTATATATATTTGTATAATATATATATATATATGTATATGTATAATATATATATGTATATATATATTTGTATAATATATATATACAAATATACACACTATACTCAAAACATCAAGACCATCAACCCCCAAAGGTACCAATCTGCATGCTGTGCAGAGGCAGCTGATGCAGCGAAAAGTGGAGACCCCAGATCTCTGTATCAGGATCCAGCAGGACCGGTCGATAGCGTTCAGTTGGTTTATAAGTGGCGAAAAAAACATGGTTTATGGTAGATATACTTGATATATCTTGATATAACTATAGTTAATGGGGATTATATGGGATTATAATGGTTTATAAACCAACTTATAACTGGGGGGGGCCATCCTGTAGGGTAGGATATGGAATGGATCTTTGAATTAGGTATGGCAAACCGTAGAAACTCCATACCATACCCAGGTGCCATATGACTTCGTCTCACTTTGCCGAATTCGGTCAACATTGATGCTCCACAAGAAAATCACCCTGACGTTCTTGGTTTGCCAACTCCCTGCCTTGCTAAAAGTGAAACTATGTGAAACTGGTTTTTCAGAAAGGACAGTGTGCTGAGTTTCGCCATCTTCCGGAAATGGCTAGCACGACAACAATCAACAGAATCAACAACAACTTATCTCAGAATCTCCTTTCGGGGCCAATAAGCCGATCCCCACATGACCGGGCCCCACTGGACTTAGTAGATCATGGTGTACTCCCCAACCGAAACAGTGAAATCCCGGAGTGCGCCTGTTGCACGAAGTCTGGGCTAAAGGCATCGCAACGTTGGAAGTCGGGACAGTAGCACACCTGGCAAACTGTGAGACCCGAAAGACCCTCGAAAAATTTCATGGGAATCTGCACAGCTTCATCCCCAGTTTTCACATCAGCTGTTGATGGATGCTCATCCCCTAAAGTTTATGGCACTTTTGTAGGTATATGATATATGGGCAGTCAAAAAAAGAACATGGCATTGATTGGTGCAATCTCCACATTTGAACGATTGCCCTGCTGGTTGGCAATCCCGTTCCGAAAATGATCGACAAAAAATGGTAGATGTCACGTTTCGATATGTTCTGACGGTGGGCTGGGTATATTCAATGGATTGGTTTAAGGGAAAATTTACAGGAAAACCCCATATTTAATGGGAAAATCTATGGTTTCCTGTAGATTTTCCCTTAAATCAATCCATTGACATATAATTTGAAACGGAAAGTAGGAATTGACGCTGGAAATTCCAGAATTCTCCAGGTAAGATTGCCCGGTAGGAATACATGTTTCGGCCTTGCATGAATATTTCAGTGTCAGAGGGTGCCTTGGGCCCAAGTCTTGTTGGGGCCTATATGGCTCTGAGGGTATATACCCTCTGGAAATTTAACATAGCTATTGCAAATGGACATTTATAGTTGATTTACCCATAAAAAATGGTGGTTTTCCATCGTTTTTTGTATGTTTCCCAGATGGTAACCCAAAATCTTCTTCCAAATGGGCATCTTGATGGGGAAGATGATGAACTGTGGGATGTTGGGGTGACCTATTTTCAGGCGCCTTTTTCCCCATGAATCTTCAGTTTTGCTGATAAGCATGGTAGTAAGAGGTATGGTTATAAGCCAATGACAAAAACCCCAGGCTTAAAGCCTCATGAATGAGGCTTAAAGCCTCATGAATGAGGCTTATCAACCACTTATCCCATCATTGCTCGCGATCCCTGAGCATTGTGGATCAAAACCCGCAACGCCGTCTCTTTATACTGGCTGGTCAAGAACGGTTTTCCCAGCTCATGGATTGTGGCAATCCCCTTTTTATATCTTGGACTATATAACCCCAAATCGCTCCATCACTGCTGAAATCCCATTCACCAGTATCAAATCCTTCTGGTCACTTCTATGTGAACGTGCGTCCTGGCTGGCAAGTGGTAACCAAGACTTCAGTTCCATCTCCAGTTCTTCTGACCCAGTGAGACCTGTTGAAACAACTCTCAAATGTAGCCAATTCATGATAGTTGACCCCATTTTCCCATGATTTTCCCATGATTTTCCCATGATTTTCCCGTGATTTTCCCATGATTTTCCCACGATTTTCCCCATATTAAAGCCATGACTCGTCGTACCCCTCGGGCTCTCCGTCCACTCCGAGCATCCGCACGGCCACGGCGTAGGCTTTGAAGCCGGGGCCCACCAGGTCGGGACGACCCGGCGGGATGGTAATGCCTCAGAGCCATGGCCGTTTTTTTCAGGACCCTCTACGGGGGGGCGCTTAGGGCGGCATTCTTTTTGGCATCTGATGGGTGAAAATGTGGTGAAAATGTGGTACGGTATGGTGCAAAAAACCACGATAGCCCGAAAAAGGCGTTTTGGTATTTTTCGGCGAAATTCCAGAGTCGGCGACTTTGTGGAAGCCAAAGACAAAGAAATTGAGTGTCTGCAAATGGGATCTTCATGGAGTTTCAATGGGATAACCAGCAGAAATGGGATGTTCATGATGTTCATGGGATTTCACCAACCCCAAAATGGTGATTTAACCAATGAAGAGTGGATATTTTTGTGTGTGTCTGAAAATGGGGTAAACCCACCAGTTCTGGCCATTTCAAATGGATATAATGATTATGATATAACCAATGGATGCCGGGGATTTAACAAATTTACAAACTCTGGGTTTTTTGATGGGGATATGATGACGATACCAATTTTTTGATGGTGAGATCGTGGGATTTGGGGAAACTCCGGGACGGGCCTCCCAGTTGCGATTTCTTGGTGGAAACAATGAGGCTTTTGAAAATTTTGACCGTCGTGGGGGATTTTAGGGGTGCCCCATTTTCAGAGAAACACAAAAAAATAGAGGCGTTTTTACCAGAAAGATAATCATTGTAGGCTTATTGAGTCGTAGATGAGAGCTTATTTCCATCTTAAGGTCACTAAACGATTACCAGTCCGACCAGAAAGAGAGTTTTTCATCTGAAATTGGGGGGTTCTAAAAAAGGACAAAAACATCTATGAATGGGTTTGTTGAACAAAAACATCCCCAATGAAACAAAAAAGCTTCAGGAATCATTGATCTATCTTTCTATCTATTCTCATCCAATCTGAATTTTAACCTTACTCTAATCTTAACCCTAGCTTATATATGCGATATATTCCCCGTGACTGTAGACCAACCTGTGGCTGGCTGCACTCTCAAAAAAATAATGGTTTATAAAATGATTCAGAAAGCTTTTTTTTTATAGAATGAATCTGATGCATATTTATGGAATGGTTCGGCAAGATTAAGCATCTGAGATTCTCTGAGATAGAAAACCCAGCTGGCAGGTTTATACAATGAGGTTTAGTGTCCGAAGTAAACACAACATATCTTTTATAGAATGTAGCAGCCAAGCACCAACAAGCAACCTTACTCGAACACTGAGCAATTTATAGAACTAATGGATTTGGGTGAAGGATGTCCATGGATATCCCATGATATCCCGAAATTATGAATTTCAAAAGGGAGCAAGAAGCCAGAAAGAAAGCCGGCTTGGTTTATAAAATATCGTGATATTGTGGTTGCAGGCTCTTTGCGGGGAACCAATTTAGACACTTTTCTGCGCAGAAGCCTATTTGTGCAAACTGCTTTTTGGAAAGTACTGTAACCCCAATCTTTAGCAAGGATCTTTTGACAAGAAAACCCAATGTTTCAAAAGAGAACCTCTCCTCTGAAGTCTTGCACCTAGGGCCAGCCAACACGTTCTCAGTCCTTATTTCTTAAGATGTTTTTGCGCTAACCATGTTTCATCTTAAAATGACTTTACTCCTTAAAAAATATCATGTTCGTGTTTCCCCAAAGCGCATGAAGGCAATATTATTACAATGTGGGGCCCCCCAGTTATAAGTTGGTTTATAAACCCCATTAACTATAGTTATTTGCGTACCATAAACCATAGTTATTGGAGTTATTTGCACCAACTTAGCTATCTAGGGGGCCCCACATTGTATGTATAAAGAAATTGTAAGAGCCAATTATTCAGTATTGGCTCAGGTCTTGTTTGAAGCCACATCTGGGTGTCCATGGCATCATGGGCCTTGACTTTGACCCATAAGCCGAAGCACGTCGATATGACAGCGCAGCATCAGGTGTGACGTACGGGTCCTGCCAGCGGTGGGATGCGGTATGCTCTGGAAAGCATCAGATCCAAAGGTTGCATATGGCAGTGCCCCTGTAGTTCACATCAAGTCATAGCTGGGATGGTAAATGGATGTGAATAACCCCCTAAAAATGGTATGAAAATAGGTATTGATCCATAGCCCATATCCAAAACTAACCCCTAAGAACTCAGACTCACCAGCACTGGGTCGTAGAAACCATCCAATTGCTGGTGGGTTTACCACATAAATTATATCACACTTGGCATTGGACTTATTCAGCCCCATTGGTCTGGTGGATGGGCACCCCTTGAAATGGCGTTCGCTCTATTAAACTTGTTCTACTGATTCTCGTGACTAGTGACGTCTTAGTGAGTTGTTTTAAATCACACTCCGGCGTCAACACAAGCTGACATTTTTTCCGCTGGATGGTGAATGGAGCTGTGAAAACATGCTTGGTGGTTCATTGCGAACAAGAAGTTCGATTATATCAATATATGAGCCATGGTCAATACTCACTATATGGTTGATGGTCATCCCATCCATAATAAGGATCCTTATAATGGTTATTATAAATCCCTATGAACCATTGGATGACTAGCCCCTATTAATGGTTATTAACCATGAGTATTGACCATAGCTCATATGCTTTCCCACGGATTCCCAACAGCCCCATGTGTGAAGGATCAATTTGATCAATGGCTACTCCCAGGATTAGCATTCCAAGTTCCATTCCATTCCTTGCCACACATCCAACTAACATTGTCGCTGGGCAAAACTACTACCTACTCTGCTATTCCGTTGGTCCATGTGTCTGGGAACAGTTAGCCCAAATTCAATGGTTGATCGGTTCCCCCGTTAAAAAAACTCGGCTATTTGAGGTTTTCTATACCGTTCTACCCTAGTTTCAGACACACAAAAATATCCACTCTTCATTGGTTAAATCACCATTTGTTGGTGAAATCCCATGCTTATCCCATATTCCTGATGCTTATCCCATTAAAATCCCATTAAGATCCCATTTTCAGACACACCCACATTCCTCCATTTAGAGCAAACCCATCACCTGCTGTTTACCACCCGGGTTTTCAGGGTCTGTCCCGCGTATCTGCAAGGTCACCACAGACACCACCCGCATTGCACAGGAAGGAGGAAGGAAAGTCATTGAACTCAGCCCACCGGGCAGGCTGTGTTAGTCTGAAAAGCGTACCGCTTCATTTAGGGAGATGGTTTTTCATGTCAACCGCTGATGAGACTAAACCAACATGGTGTATTTTTTGTTCGGGGGGTACTCCTCCAATAGTGGTACATGGTCATCTTGATGGTATACTCCGACTCCACTGGACAGGCCCAAAACAGGGAAATTCCAAATGTGAGTCCCGGAATGAACTGGCTACTGCTTCCAAAGGGTCCCCAACATAGTGCCAAAAAACAAGCAGAACTGGACCCGAGAACATGGTTTTCTTAATCCTGGGATCGCATGAAAAATGGTCAGTAAGTGAATTCTATTGGCTCGGATGAGATGGAAATGTCAAAATTTTTGGTACCCAAATGGTTTTGCACCCGAAAAAAGCTGGTGCAGCTGGGTGTTCGTTCGCGACAAAATTGCATAGGTTCTTTTTCGGTTTTACCCATCCCTGTCTGGTTCTATAGTCATGTGGTAAACCCAATAACAAAGAATCCCAGTCACGGGCTATGATAAATCATCCCAAATGGCTCAAAGTGGACAATGGATCATATCATAACCTATGTGTTGACTAGATCCCATTCAAACACAGTAACCCAGCGAACCAAACTATGGCCACAAAGCAGTTCGTAATTGGGATCACTGTGGTTTAGTCAGTTTCCGGGATAGCACCTGAGATACGGCCCAGCACCCCACTGAGCATCCCGAACGCCAGAAGACCCGCAGGTACGTGCAGTCTCCGTTGTGACCATGCCGTCCGAATCGTAATCTCGATGGGGCTGACTCTTCAGTCGTGAGAATTTCCATCTTTTGGGGGGACGAAGAAAATCGCCGTTTTGGGACGAACAGAAGGTTCAATGGATTTTGATCCAGAGCCATACCACCATCATCTGGGAAAATCTTTGGGACGTGTTTTTTTAGTTTAGGGTTTAAACTTGGATGTGCATCCCAGCTCGTCAGCGGTAAAAATAACCCACATATAGCTGGGTATATTCGACATACAACTACAGGATGGGGCCCCCCAGTTGTAAGTTGGTTTATAAACCATTATAGCCCCCATTAACTATAGTTATATCTACCCATACCATAGTTTTTTTGCCACTGAAATAAGGCAACTAAACGCTATCGACTGGGGGCCCCATCCTGTAGACGTACAAGATGGAAAAAAAAACCGCTTACCGGGGTGCACCCCCAAGTCGCCACCATTCAAAATGGGGAGTTTCCATGGCTTCTCCCAGATGTTCATTGCTTCGACAGTTTTGATGGCTTTTCAAATATCCTTGGGTCCCAAAGGTCACCACCATCATCATCATCATCATCATCATTGGAATCATGGCATTTTCTCAACAAGAACGCACTGCCGGGGGGATCCCCAACCCATCCCCCTTTTTCGCAGCGAGTGGCTGGTGGCAAACTCCCCCGTCCAGCTGGCGCGGCCCGGGAGGCCACTAAAGCCTGGAAAAGATGGGAAATGTTTAGTGGCCACTAAGGCCTCCAACAGGCCCCTAACCTGGAAATCTTCATCTTGGTGACATGTTAGGTTTCATAAGTCATGGGGCTACCCCCTCCAAGTCACTCACCCTGGCTTAGTATGTTTCAACCTATGGATCCTATGGGGCTTGGGGATCCCCCATGACTCTAGAAACCCCCATATTCTTGGTGATTCCTTCTCGGACCATCTCCAACATGGTGCTGCTGCCGCCCCCTCTCCTGCTCCCTCGTAGCTGTAATCCACCACACAGGAGGATTGGCCATCGTAGGTCTTGGCGGAAAAATGGCGTGGCGCTGTGACCGGGGCTGTGGCTAAAACCCTACTACCATTATAAGAATTCATACAAGATGTAACACCCAAAAAGATCGAATTTGGTAAGATCCCACTGGAACAGTGATTCATTACTTTGCGCTCTTTCGGGGTTGCTATAAGGCAGATTAGAAAAGAATATACGTGCCATGGTCAAGCTATGTGGGCTATGGTTATCCCAGAATGATTCGCGATTCCTCAAACTGCCTATATCAACCTCTACGAATGGATTAATGACCATCCCCCAATCAGGGTCCATAAGTCCATAATCCAAATTTTGAATATATACATGTACATCTGATGCTAATAATACATCTTGATGATACAAAAGATACATCATTCCTATGATAATTGATAAATCATCGGTATTTTAACCATCCTCCCTGGCAATCTCCCATGGCCACAGTGGCGGGTTGACCAATTGCTAAAGATACCATCTCGGAATTCAACCTAGCATGGACAGACCATTTATAGTTGATTTAACATGATTTAACATAATGTGGGTAAAACAATGCCATAAACCGCCCATTTGAGAATGGTTTAGAGCACCTATTTATAGGCGGCTAAGGGATCAAAAAAAAACAAATAAGGATCAAAAAACAAAATCGAGGGATCAAAAAAAAACAAATAAGGATCAAAAAAAACAAATAAGGACGATCGTAGTGAAAATCGTCAAGAAACTGTGCAAAGGGAGGATCAAAAAAAACAAATGGGAATACATATGAATAAAAACGAAAGAGAGTAGGTAGCAAGGGAAGTCGATTAAAAAATAAAAGCGGGTGGGGGGGTGCAGGGGGGAGGGCTTGAAGAGGGGCCCTAGCGTCTACTTCAAGATCAGCTAAGGCGTCTTCCCCAATGACAGCACTCTTTTACTCTCAGCCTGTTGCCGGTCAGTGCTTGTCTACAGGGTTACTCTATATACCTCTTGAGCCTTGAGGGGCGCATATAAATGTGCTCAATACTCATGCATGTACCTATGTAGGTATTAGGTCGAAACAAAAACACAGGCACAAATTCAAAAGCAATGAGTAGCACTAGCGTACCCTACGCCTTGCCGTACCCAATTGGTATTAAGAGTATCTTCCTGACTTCTCTACACAATGGCAAATAGCAAAAGAAACCGGAGTTACGCAGTGGCTTCGAATTGAAAAACACGTGAAAGCAGCGAATGTCCTAAGGACATGTCGAAAAAGAACAGCGGATTCGCTAATTTTTCCAGTAGTGACCAATGGTGCTTCGCGCACGGTCTCTCCACAGGCAAAATGCCTCGCTCTACCGGTGAAAGTTCGAATTGAAAAGTTCGGGTTCGCAAGATTCAGAAATTCAGGTCATACGAAAACAATTGACCAAATCACGAAATAAACGGAAATAGCGGATCTCCAAAGTTGCTCATTCAAGCAAACAATGGACTGAAATCGAAGTTGGTAAATTTTTGAAGTTCGCTCCATTCGGAGTGGTCTGCTCGCCGGATGATTCATGGAGATAAATGTATATAGTATCTCTATTTACAAGAGTCTCTATTTTACATTAAATTGAAGTTCAGACACTTGTGGCATTATCTCTATCTAAAAGAGTATATGCCATCTGTGTGAAATAAGTTGAACGCACAGAAAAACTGTACACGGCTTCTCATGCTGTGTTATCTTCAATTAAAGAAGTGTACACTCACTCATCGCCACTCACTTGATCTCCATGGTCTGGACGCTGAAGATGAGGATCCACCCCACTCTGTGTTGCCCTGATACGTCGATGCTTGATCTTCATATGCCTTTCTCTTTTTCTCCTTCTGTCTTTCCTTTCTTGAATCAGCATACTGCTTCTTCTTGTAGGCCTGTTTGTAATGATGTCGTTCATTCCATGACATATCAGAAGGATCAAGATGGATAAGAATTGGATTATGAGCATCGCGATCATTTGGAGCAACCATGAAGATGTTGTGATCACCATGTAAGCAAGTTTCATTTACCTTGAAGTAAAATTCACCCACATAGTTCATGTGATCTTCATCCTCAAAGTCTTCTGGGTGTTCCTCACACATCAAACGTGAATGACCCCACTCAACAACTGTTAACATACAACAATCACCTTTACCATTTGTCTTGTTCATGAGCTCGTCGGTGTATGTTGCTGTTGTAATGCCATCCAAGTGCGTTGCAAGAAAATCCAAGTCACGATAACTGCAAGAAATGAAATGCTTGACCCTGATTGGAGGGCAAGTTGGATCAAAATTCTTGCGCATGGCTTGTGTTGCAACACCTACCATTCTGTTAATCCAGAATTGGATAAGGCTGTGTTGATATGTAGGGACACCTGGAGATTTTGGTGTGCTGTAATAGCATGCCTTGTTTCCATCACCTGCGATGAAGTCAACTTGATATCTGGCACACTCAAAAGCCATAACAGCTAAGCACTCACCAACAATCCCAGCAGAGTCTGATGCATACTTCTGTCCGACGTGATAAACGCACACACGTGTCATTCTCATCCTAGCTCTTGTCAAGTCAACAATCTCATCTGTATCTCGATCCTTTGTCTTTCCCCAAGATACTTCAAAGATTGCCCATGAGACTTGTCGAACTCGTGTGTCGTTGTCATCTGTGTGATATCCAGCAATTTGCTTGATATAGCCATCCTTTCCAAGGCGAGCTGCCACCATCAAGTCATGATAGTCATTGAAGCAAGTTTTAAAGTCAACCTCGTCGAGTCTTTCTCTGTGAGGATACAACGAACCAGCCTCGCAATTCATGAAAAGATGTCCTCCAAAGTTCTTGATGACATTGATGAAGTAATTGTTGAACTGTGATTTGGTTTCATCAAATTTTTCATGATCCTCATCGATAGTGTAGTCAATGTGTGGAATGAATTGTTGAAATCTTTCTGGAACCGGGCATTTTTCAAATCTGTTTCTGCACCAGTTTCCCAAATTCCAAAACATTGCTGTTATCTGTGGAGAGGATCTGTATGGAAATTCAGCATCCTTGTACGTTGGGTCTGATAGGCCTCCACCTAAATACCTGTAAGCCAAGCTATGCAAGATCATACAGTAAGGCAAGACCTTGTGGTCCTCAACGTAATCTTGGAGTACCCTTGTGAGATTTCCAAAATCGTCATCAATCCTCTTTTCTGCTTCTTTTGAGGATCTTTCTGCTTTGTCTTGATGAAGAGGATGCATCCTTGGATCACTACAACCATATTCAATGCGCTGATTAAGTTCTTGTAATTCTAGTTGTGGATCCTGATTCTTGTGTCTGGCAATGTACTCAACCATCAACTGGTCATCTGTAAGATGGTACCAAAAATCATGATGTGGAGACATGGTCTTCCTGTACTTAACATGCCAAAACATATGTCGATGCTTCGAAGACGCTGGATAACCTTTGTTGTAAAATCCTGCCCATTCACCATGGTAACCATCTGAAAAACAATCCGTCAATCTTCGAAAAACTGAATCATCTTCGTTTCCAGTGATATCTTGACCATAGTAAAGTCGAACTGCAGGTTTCACTTCAGGAGCTGTCTCATCATCTTGAATGTCTGTCTTCTTCTCCCCTGATTCCTCCTTTTCTGAGGAGCGTTCAGGTGGAGCTGATTCCTCTTTCTCTGAAGAGCCTTCAGCTGGGACATGTGGCTCCTGTGTGTCTTTTTCTTCTTCTTTTTCTTCGTCAGCAATCTTCTCTTCTTCATCCTTTTCTTTCTCTTGTCCTTCTTCTGGTTTGACAAAACTTTCCTTGATCTTTCGTTGAACATTCTGATTGCACATACTGATCCATTTCAATGTACACTCAACCAATTTGTCATCATCAGTTTCCAAAATGATATGTTTGTCCTCAATGTTCAAACTTTCAATGGTATGCTTGTACTCAGGATCACCTGCGCCTGGTCTTTGAAGATCTGGAAGTGGAGTGTCTGGATCATCGTCCACCATATGAGGATCCTCTGCTCCAAAGAAATTTTCTGCGCCAAGGTGTTCATTGTCCTTGAGAACTTAGTCAATATCCAGTTTGAACTCATAGTACTTGTCGTAAGAGATCTCATAACCCATCATAGGTGCATACTGCTCCATAAATGTTGAAAAGGAAGCATCTGATAATGCTGACATCATCAACCATAATGAGAAGAAGCTTATGTCACCACGTTCAAGGGGTCGACTTCCTTCAAGATCATCTTCTGTGAGGATTGTTTGGCCTTGGAGTGTAATATCATGGAGGATCTGTCTGTGCTCTGGTTTGAGTTGCCTGACTAAGAACAGTCCCGGTCGATCTTCCATATTTTTCGAGGATTTTCAGGTAATACCTCACTTTCTTGTTGTGGTTGTGTTTCCTCTCTTTCTTGAGAGCATACACCTTCTTCCTCTCTTTCCTGAGAGCCTGATGCCTTTTCCTCCTCTTTCCTGACAAAAACTTGTAGTCTTGGCAAAAACTCCAAATCATCTTCAGCATCATCATCATCGTGACCTTCCATGTCCACATTCTGTTGCTCTGATCCTGGGATGTGAGCGATCTTGTCCTTTCCAGCTACCCAGATGTAGCCATCGAGCTTTGTAGATGTGTGGAAGTCACCTGAACCGCATTCCCTGACCTTTGTCCTTGCTCTTGCAGATTGATGGAATGCTTCATGCTGAAAGAATTGATTGTAGGCATGTTCAACAAAGAATCTGTAGGATTGAGCTGTCAATTCCTTTCTGCTATCCACAAATTGTCGAAGCTTGTTCAAAGCAAAAACTGTGAAATGGCTGAAGCTAGCAGGTGCTTCATCTTCATACAGATCGATTGCCATGATCATCATCTTTGTGGAAAACGAGAAATGCCGTTCAGGTTCTGGGATGACTGTTCTCTTGTTCATGGGAACTGTAATTGGGAACTGTAATTCCTTGGATAGTCATGTCATACCCATGTGTGTTCAACTCCAGTGCATCCAAAATGTTACCATCACGGTCCTTCTTTCTCCTGCAGAAATCTGCCCA